CAATCAGATAAGAAACAAACAAAAGGCACCCGAATTGGAAGGAAGAAATAAAAGTGTCATTATTTGCAGATGACATGATACTGTATATACAGAACCCCAAAGAATACATAAAAAACTATTAGAACAAATGAATTCAGTAAAGTAGGAGGATACAAAACATTTAAAAATTGGTTGCATTTTTATACACCAAAATAATGAACTGTCAGAAAAAGAAAACAATTCCATTTACAATTACATCAAAAAGAATAAAATACCTAGGAATAAATTTAACCAAATAGGAAAAAACCCTATACTTGGTAAAACTGTAAGACATGGAAGAAGATACAAATAAATGGAAGTATATACTGTGCTCATGGATAGGAAGAATTAACATACTACCCAAAGCAATCTACAGATTCAATGCAATCTCCATCAAAAACACCAGTAGCATTTTTCACAGAACTATAACAAATAATTCTAATATTTATATGGAACCACAAAAGACTCGAATAGCTAAAGTAATATTGAGAAAGATGAACAAAGTTGGAGGTATCATAGTACCTGATACCAAACTATACTACAAGACTATGGTAATCAAAACATCATGGTAACTAGCATAAAAGCAGATACATAGATCAATGGAACAGAAGAGAGAAATAACAGAAATAAACCCATGCCTATATGGTCAATTAATCTATGACCAAGGAGGCAAGAATATACAATGGGGTAAAGGCAGTCTCTTCAATAAATGTTTGGAAAACTGAACAGATACATGCAAAAGAATGAAACTGGATCACTTACACCATATACAAGAATAAACTCAAAATGGATTACAGATTTAAATGTAAGTCCTGAAACCATAAAACTCCTAGAAGAAAAGAGAGGAGGTAAACTCTTTGACATTGCTCTTAGTAATATTTTTTTTGGCTATGTCTCCTCAGGCAAGGGAACCAAATGAAAAAAGTAAACAAAAGGCACTACATCAAACTAAAGAGTTTCTGCACAGCAAATGAAACCATCAACAAAACGAAAAGAGAACCAACTGAATGGGAGAGGATATTCGCCAATGATACACCCAGTAAGGGGTAAACGTCCAAAATATGTAACGAACTCATACAGCTTAACATAAAAAAAAAAAAATCCGATTAAAAAATGGGCAGAGGACAGTTATGCTAAGTGAAATAAGTCAGACAGAGAAAGACAAATACCATGATTTCACTTATATGTGGAATCTAAAGAACAAAATAAACAAAACAGAAACAAACTCATACATGCAGAGAACAAAAAATCTGATGGTTGCCAGATGAGAGGGGTGTTAGGGGGATGGGTGAAAAAGGTGAAGGGATTAAGATGTGAAAATTACCAGTTATAAAAACAGTCATGGGTATGTAAAGTACAGTATAGGGAATATAGTCAATAATACTGTAATAACTGGATTGTGTCAGATGGGTACTAGACTTATGGGGGGAATCAGTTGTATAAATGTCCTATTACAATGTTGTACATCTGAAACTAATATTGTATGTCAACTGTAATTGAAAAAAATCCACCAATCAATCAATCAATTGATCAATCATTAGGCAGGAGAAGAAATGGGGATATAAGTGGAATGTTGAGGACATGCATTGGTGTACACAGTAAGGTCCCTTATTCCAAACAAGAAACCAGGACTGATGAGAAGGATGAAGGAGAATCTAAACAGCCAAAGTGATCCAAAGCCAAACTACACCCTTCAGAATTGTGTGTGAGAAAGAATGTTGGTAGCTCCTCAAATGTAAGCCCAGACCCCTGGGTAACTAACTCTATCTGTGAATGTATAACTGGAATGAACAGGAAAAGACAAATACAGAAAAAGAATACAATCTGATGACCTATTAAATTTAGAGGGTAAGAAGGAAGAAGTAAAGAAGTATACAATTATAAGGTTAGTTAACTGGGAGTATTAGGATTTTATTAACCTAGACAGGGAACACTAGATCAGGATTGAGACTTGAGGGAGGAAAATAGGTACAGTTTTAAATATGCTGAATGTGGATATCTGTAGGGTGTCCAGTTTGAAATGAAGTCCAGAAATACGTTGATGCCTCACGAAGATTTGGAAGTCACCAGCCAAATAGATATAAGCAGAAACTATTGGGAGAGAGGTCATCTACATAGCAACTTCAAGGTGAAAAGAGGGCCAAGGACAAAGCTTTGGAGATTGTCTACATTTCAGAGATAGGACAGACAGTAAAGGAGACTCAGAAGGAACAATTAAGAAAAAACAAGTGGAAAAAGGAGCGGAGATAGAGGTAGTAATAATGACAGTGAACATTTCTATAGTGCAAACATCACAGATCTGTGTCTGTTGTAAGCATTTTATCTATATCAACTCATTTAATGCTAACAGTAACCCTATAAGATGGATACTATAATCATCCTTATTTCATAGGTATAGAAACTGAAAGATGAGGTTAATAATTACTGATTGTTACACAACTAAAATGGTAGAGCCAGAATTTGAACCTAGGCAGTCTCTCCATAGACAAAGAGTTTCAAAGAAGAAAGAGTAGCCGACAGTGTTAGATGTTGCAAAGAAGTAGAGTAAGATTTGAAGTCCTCAAAGTTGGCAATTAGGACATCACTAATAGGGACATAAATCAGAATAAAATGGATTAAAAAGTTAATGAGAAGTGAAAACGCAACCCACAAAAGAAAATTTTTGCAAGTTGTATATCTGATAAGGGATTATCTAGAATATATAAAGAACTATTACAACTCAATAATAAAAAGACAAACAACCCAACGTTAAAAAATGGGCAAAGAATCTGAATAAAAGTTCTCCAAAAATATAAAAATGGCTCATAAGCACATGAAAAGATGCTCAGCATCATTAGCAATAAGATAAATGCATATCAAAACCACAATGAGATACCACTAAAGACATACTAGATAGCTATAAACAAAAAGTTAAAAAGCATTGGTGAGGATGTAGAGAAACTGAAACCCACATACACTGCTAGTGGGAATGTAAAATGCTCCTGTCGCTTTGGAAAATAGTTTGGCAGTTCCTCAGATGGTTAAACACAGAGACATCATATGACCCAGCAATTCAACTCATAGGTATATACCCAAGAGAATAAAAACATGTCTACAAAAACTTGTCCGTGAATGTTCATAACAGCATTATTTATAATAGCCTCCAAACACACACAACCCAAATGTCCGTCAAGTGATGAATGGATAAAGTAAATGTGATATAGCCATATAATGGAATATTTGGTAATAAAAAGGAATCAAGTGTTGATATATGCTACAACATGGATGAACCCTGAAAACAATTATGCTAAGTGAAAGAAGCCAATCACAAAGGACCACATACATATTGTAGGATTCCATTTCTATGAAATGTTCAAACAGGCAAATCTATTGACAGAAAGTAGATTAGTGGTTGCCTGGGGCTTGGCGGAATGGAGGGAATGCAGAGCTTTGGGAAGTACAGCTAAACAGTGTGGGGTTTCTTTTTGGGGTAATGCAAATGTGCACCCATCACTACAATCAACTTTAGATAAAATCTGAGAGTATACTAAAAGTTTTGAATTATACATTTTAAGTTGGTGAACTGTATGGCATGTCTATTATATCTCAATAAAGCTGTTTTAAAAAGTTAATGAGAAATTAAATGCAAGGAAAAGATAGGAAATGCTTGAGAGGGGAGGTAGGGTCAAAGGAAGATTTCTGAAGGTTAGGGACGATACTAATAGGTTTATGAACTGAGATATATCAGTGGAAATGAGAGCACGATACAAAAAAGACATCACAGATTAAGTAAAGCCCTAAAGGGGATGAATAGAAACAAAAAAGAAAATGGTGACACCTCTGAAAGAATGAGCCAAGATACAGATACTGGTATGAAGGTAAGTTGCGAGTTCATATTTGAAGGATCTTATTTTTCACTGAGATAGAAAAGGTATGCAGTTGAATATGAGAAGTCCAGAAAAGTAGTAAAAATTGGGAAAACTGCTGACAAGAATGGAAAAAGGAAACAAAGAATAAAAAGCTTGTCAAGGAGAACTGAGCAGTGTGAGAACAGAAATAAGCTTTAAAGAAGCCAATATGTGCAATTATATGCTACTCTCAGCTAGACTGGTCAGCCAGTTTATAAACTCAGATGGCAGGTGATTGGGCTCTTTTGGGGTTAAAGTTTGCGAAGAGTTTAGGTAAAATGCTTGATCATAAAATCCCACTGAATGAGGATGGCAGTGATACCAAAAGAAGATGGATGTTTCAAAGGAGAAACTGTACTTAATGACAGAAATCGATATGGAAGCTGAAGAAGGAAAATAATTAAACAAGATTCCTGATTATCTGGTAGAATTGACAGACTAGTGACCAAAACAGAGTTCTTGGGAAGGAAGTAGGCTACAGAGAAATGATTACTCACAAATATAAAGTTTAGAGTAAAAATTTTCTTGGAAGAATAATGTCATTTTTAAAAGGAACAGGAGTAAAGTAAGGCCCAGAGAAGTTAAGTGACTTTGCTGAAGTCCCCAGACACTAAACAAAGGCTAGAAAAGACTTCCAATTCCAGGCCAGTCTTATTACACTATAGAACCTCACTACTATCTGGAGCTGGACACGATGGCTGGAAATACAAATGGTGATACTTCTTGCGGAGATTCAGTAACATTAAAATTGGTTTGAATTTCTAGGTTCATTTCAGGTGATAGTGGGGAAATATGATTCACGAACAAAATGAATGACAGAAACCAATCAGATAAAACATTTGCTCTGGTAATAATCAAGAGTTGGATGTAGAATGATATAAGCACCTTAAAATATTCTAATGCAAGAACATTTATGCTTCAAAATCCTCTCAATGTTGCCTGGCAATATAGATGAGAGGACATAAATAATTATGGCTTAGAATTTTAAACATTAAGAAGAGCTTTGCTTACTTTTAAGGTTCTTTTTATCTTACAGAAATACGAAATACTGAAGTCTGATTAGGTCTCTTTTAAGGGGCTAAACATTTGCCTTACCTTTACTACCTTGTAGTCACACAAGTATTCCACCTCATAATTGTTTAGATTCCTTTTGGTGATTCCAATCGATTTACATGTGAGCTTTTCTTTTCTACATAATTCCTGAAGAGTATCAAGTGAAACTAGGCAAGGCACACACCAAGCTACAATAAGAAAATAGAATTCTTTACTAATGAAATAGCCACTAAATTAAAACAAAAAAGGAAAAGGAAAAATTTAAGACGTCTATATCCCCACCCTTCTGACAATTTTACAGGACTAAAAATTCACATGACAAGAAACCATTTCTGTGTCTTCAAGAAAAAGTTAAGCATTATAGAACTGTTTAGGTAAATTGATCTTCTTGGATTTTCTCACGGGTTTCTATCCTACTATGTTTAACTGATGCCAGTTAATTTCTAGTGAGCCATCTGAACAAAATATTTCATGTCTGTAAGGTTTCTTAAGGTTACATATAGTTGCAAAGGTCAAAAAAATACTTTTGACTTCTCCATTACATTCTACACAGAATATAATTTGCTGTTTTAATAAAATGTAGCTCTCTAGGACATACTTATTGTTAAAAATATCTTAAATGTATTTTAAAACCATCTTATAATTTGTTAAAACAGTAACTTTGCCAAGTTCTCTTAGATAAATAAGAACTGCAATCTAACTGAAATATAGTTCTATAGTTCCATACTCATACATCATGTCTTTTTTTCCCACTTTGCAATGTTGCATGAAATTTTAACTCCACTTATTATTTTGCCCATGTTGCAATGTATCAAGGTAAATAAACCCGTCATAATAAAATAATGGAAAGTATATTGATTTTTGTAATACTCATTTTCTGTAGTTTTTAAAGCCAAGAATTACAAAACAGAGTATTCAGTTCACATGACCCATATACCAAGCTTGAAGACAGACACACTCATAATCAATCTTACAGAAGCCAGAAAATGCTGCAGATTTTACCCTCAAATTTCTGTAAACAGTATGCTACCATCCTGCATATAAAATGTTAGCACAAAGTGATGTTTAGAAATCTGTTATAAGCTTGGTTTTATGGCTAGTGTTATGGTAAGCACTAGAGAGGATCAAAGGTCCTCTGCCCTAGCCTTTGGTAGGCCACCAGCTATCTGACTTCAGTGAAGTTTTCAGAGTTCTGGGTTTCAGATTCACTGGAAAAAAATGTGGGGGTTGAAGTAAATTGGGGTTACCAAACAAAATCAGTAAACTCAAGCTTTACTTGGTAGCTTTTCAAGGTAGTTGTGACAACCTTGTGTTTTGAGGTAGAGAAAACACAGTTGCTCTTACCTATGTATATCCATTCCTCACCCTCAACTCAGAGACTTCATTGTCACAAACCCTGAAGCACGATTTCCACCCACCTCCAATTCCTACAAAGGACTCATAATTCTAGACCAAGAAAGATACTTCCCCCCAAAAAAACCTGCTTTGAAGTGGTGACCCCCTTACATCCTTTCCATTAAAAAAAAAACCTTAAGGATGTTTTGTGTCACTTTAATCTCATTATGCTGATGACAGGCAAAGGTGGTTTGTCTGCTGTTCCTACCATTTTTATCTAGTTGAAGTAACAGGAGGATTCAATACACAACCCCCGATGGAAATGCTATGGAGAGTAAAAAACAATGGAACATAAGAAGCTAGAAACTCCTGGCAACAATTTCGATTATAATTATGTCGAAAAATTCATTTGCAAGATTTAACATTTCATTACCACCACAAAAACCTCACAATAGTTCACTAACCTCTAGTGGCAGACAAGTTTGTGTATGAAGAGTTCATAATCTTTGTGGCGGGTAGTATTGGAAAACACCTTTAAATACTCGAAAGCAGTGCAAGTTTCAGTCTTTCAAAGCGCGCGCGCGACAAGAACACACACACACACACTCGGTGCCTAATTCTTTGGCATCCACATAAACAACACGCAAGTTCCTGGTGGGTATAAAAATGACCCTAAGCCAGAGGCTACATCCTCAAATACCCGCTTACTCGGATCTTCTCCGACAAGGAATTTAACCGCCTAGCGCGGCCGAATTGGGGTGTATATTCGCTTACTTCCTTTCTCAGCGGTCATACTGCAGCCCCGATTCCTTTCTTTCCTCTGATACTGAGGTCACATTTATACCACAGGGTTCTTCCCGCCTCCCAATTACAAAGCCAGCCAGAACACTAAACGTCCCGCTCAAACCACCACAAAGGAGTCAAGTCACACGCGCGCCCACAGGAACTCGAGTCCCCTCCCGCCCCCCGCCTCCCGCCAGGGATTAGCGGGAGCCGCGGCAGCAGCCCAAATACCTCCACACGGCCACTGGGCGGGGACAGGCCGCGGGCCCCACGGGACCTCGGCGGGGCAGGAGGGGGCAGACCCCCGCGCGCAGGCCAGGCGCGGGGGTAGACTGCGGGGAGCGAGCGGGCCGAGCCGCGAGAAGGGTCAGGGAACCGGGAAGAGTGAAGCCTGCGGAGCGCATCTCGGGGCCCAGGTGTCTCCAGGATGGGAGGCGGCGTCTCGCCTCGTCGCGCTCTGCCTAGCCCGCGCGTCCCGGCCCGCTTCCCGGGCCTGAGGAGTGTGCCTGGAGAACGGGGGGTAGTGAGGGCAGCCGCTCTCCAGCGCTCACCTCCTCGCGTGTCAGCTCCGGCCGCCGCCATCTTGAGGAGCTTTCATTCAAACTGCCGCGGTCGGTCGGGATAGTTCAACTGGCCGGACGCCCCGCCCCTGACCGGCCCGCGCGGGAGTGGGGGCCGAGACTGAGGGGCTGGAAACCGCGAGGCGTACTGACGTCACCGCACGCCGACTCCGGCCGCAGCGGCGAGCGCGCCTGCGCCCACGTCGCATCCCGGCGCGTGGGGAGGGCGCGAGGCCAGTGGAGAGGCGGGATCCACGTGCAGGGGCGGGGCGCGGCTGGGGGGCGTTCCACTCAGCTGGTAGCCACCTGCCTCAGACTGGCTGGTTTAGCGCCTAATCCAGGGACACGCCTATCAGTCCTTCCCACGCGTTTTAGTTCTTTTACATCGGCATTACGTGTACACTGTGCAAAATTCAAAAAGTACAGCGGAGCTATATAGTGCTTTTGCATCCCATGCCTGTTTCTCAGCTGAGTCCCAACTAGCCATTGTTGTTTCCTTCCATGCTACGCCCCCCCGTCCCCTCCCCCCCCCCCCGCTAGATCACAGGCTTTCAAAATTGGCTGCACGTTGGGATCCCTTGGGGGGGGGTTGCTTTTTGGTCCCACTCGCAGAGAGAGATTTAATTGGTATGGAGTGTGACGTAGGCATTGGCGTGTTTACAGCTCCCCCGGTGATTCTAGTGTGCAGCAGTTTGAAACGACCGTCTAGATCAGTGCTTTCTACACTCGAATGGGCATAGAAATCATTGGGGATCTTAAAATGCAGGTTTCAATCAGGTAGGTCTGGGCTGAAACCCGTGTCTGACGAGCTCTCAGGCTATGCCGGATGATAGATGCCTCTCCATCAGGCCACAGTTTATTAGCTAGGCTGCGGTGACACCCAGGTCCTCCAGCAGGATAACTCCAGGAGCTTCTATCCGGTCTGGAACCTCTCCCCGTCCCCATCTATTCTCCACACCGCATCCATGGTGATAAGTTCTAAACAATCTAAAGCAGAAATCTTGGAAGTTGAGTAAATGCGAAAACTTAAGTAAAAAGTCGTTTGGCATCTAGACAAGGAGTTTAAAAAGAATTTTATGTAAAAGTACAAAAAATATTTCAAAACATCGTGTATAAATTTGAAATACTGGAAATAAATAGAGAACATTAAAGGAATTAGTTTGATTCCATTATGAAATACGATGTGGCCACTAAAAAAGATCTTCATGAAACCTTTTAGTATCATGTGGGAAGTGTTTAATATGTTAAGCAAAACGAACAACAAAAACCTGTAAAATATAGAGTTTCAACAATGTAAGAAAAAAATATATAGGAAGATAAATATAAATTCTCGAGGGAGTGTTTTCGTTTTGACTTTCACTTTTACATATTTAACCATTTTCTATAATGAGCATCTTATCACCTATAGGAGTGATCTAGCAAAGACGGGGGAAATGTAGGCATTTTCTAGGCAGAGAAAAGAGAAATGACCCAAGTCCTGGGGATGGGGAGCAGGAGATATTCAAGGAAGTTAGAAATTAGAATGAGAAGAAATGATGAGCAATGAGACCTGAGAAGTGGACAGGAACCATAATAACAGGGGCCCCCGTGTGATAGGGCTGGAAAGGACTTTTTATTCCTTATCAAGGTGAAAAGGGGAGACTTGGATAGAGCCTCACCTTCTTGCCGGAACCTGTCTCCCTCTCCCTTCCCCAGTGTGCTCACTGCCTCTCCTGTATGCTCTTACAGCACCCCCGCGAGCATCCATTCTTACTCAATTTCTTTCTTGGGTTTCCTTGTTCTTCACTGGCCACTCTTCACTCCTCTTTCTGGCTCCCTTTCCTCTATCCAACCTAAATTCTGGGATTCCTCAGCGATTGGCCCTGATACATTTCTCTTATGCTCTCTTCCTAAGTGACTGACTCAGTTCCCATGGATTTAAATATCTTTTTTTTTTTTTTTTTTTAGCTGAGCCATCCTGCCACCAGTTGGCAGCTCAGCAGCAGCTCAGCTTGGGCCAGATTCGAACCGCTGTTGCTCAGAGCTCAAACCTTTGAGCAAGCTCTTAACCAACTGAGCCACTCAGCCGGCCCCTAAATATCTTTTTAAACTTTTTGTCTCCAGCGCTGACCTCTGCCCTGAATTCCAAACTTAAGTATCCACAGTGCCTAGTTGACATATCCACTTAGGTGTTGCACAAACACCTCAAATTGAACATACTCATAGAAGCACCCTTGATTTTTGCCTCCAGGCCTGATCTACTTAGGTGTTTAAGAAGGAAATCTAGGTGTCATCTTGACATCTAGGTGTCTTCTCATTCTCAGAATTAATTCCATTAGCAAGTCATGTCAATGGTATGTCCAAAATTCACCTTGATTCTGCCTCTTTTCTCCATTGCTACTTCTATTACTTTAGTATAGGCCATCATTTCTCAACTGGAGTCCTGCAAAAACCTACCGGGTTTCCCACTATTGCTCCCGTCCAATCCACTTTCCACACAGCTGCAAAAGTGACCTTAAAACAAAGTGGAGGGGGCCAGCTGAGTGGCTCGTTGGTTAAGAGTTGGCTTGGGAGAGCGAGGTCTGAGCAGCAGGGCCCTGGATCGGATCCCACATGCGGGCCAGTGATGCTGTGTCCTCTACAGCTAAGATGGTGAACAGCAGCTCGACCTGGAGATGGGCTGCTATGAGTGGCTGGCGACGGGGTAGGCTGTAGTGGGGCTGCAGTGGGCTGCTGTAAGCTACCGTGACTGGCCGGCAGCCAGCATGAGCCGCCGTGAGCTGCCGTGAGCAGCCATCCAATGGCCAGCGACCGATCTGCCTCAGCCAGGAAGAGTGCAATGATCACAATACCAACATGGGCCAGTGAAGTGACATCCTCCACAACTAGAGTGAAGAACAAAAGGACAGCAACTTGTCTGTTCCCCTTCCCTGATTGCCCAATAAAATCTTTAAAAAGAAAAAACAGAAAACAAAAACATAAAGTGGAACATTTCCTTCTTCTGTTTGAAATACTTCCCAATGGACGTAGAATAAGACCCAGTTCCCAATGACCTACATGGTCTTATGTGTTTGGCAGTCTGCCTCCCTAACCTTCCTTTGTGCCACTTTCCCCTTTGCTCACTATTCTCTAGGACTTTTTTTCGCTCATTCAGAAATCTTTAATTGTGCATTTCCTATGTGTCAGGCACTGTAAAAGGTGCTGGGACTATAACAGTGGACAAGAAAGAAAAAGACCCTGTCCTCATAGAGCTTATATCCTATTGGGAGGAGCAGATAAACACATGAGGAAATAAGTAACTTATGGCAACTCTAAATTACTTCCTAGTTCAGAGGACATGCTCCTCCTTCTGTTCACATGGCTACCTTATTACTTGGGACTCAGCTTAAAAGTCACTTCTTCAGAGGCCTCTCCTGGTTACCCTATCTAAAGTTGGTACCTCCTGTCTGCCATTGTTTCTTCTTTGCTCCCTTAAATTCGCTTATCAAAATCTGCAGTTACCTTGTCTGTTTTTTGGGTCTTGATCAATTTCAGTAAAAATTTACAGAATGAATGCATTAGACTCTTTTGTAAATCAACTATTTGCTTCATTTTTCTAGCCTTGAATCCCATTAATTCCAAGGGATTAGGCCTTGTCTCTTCAACATGCATTGCTGTGTCTCTACTATTTAATGCAGCAACTCTCAAAGCAGGGTACAGGGACTCTGAGACCTGCGCCCTATCAGGAGGCTCCTAAGTTCAAAACTATTTTCATAATAAGACCGAGATGTTATCTGCCTTCTTTACTCTCTTCTCATTAGTGTACAGTGAAGTTTTCCAGAAGTTTCACAACTTGGGTATTGCAAAGATTGAAGAAGCAGGTACCAGGATACAGCTACTGTCTTATGTCAGATGTTACAGAGATTTGAAAAATATAAAACAATACCACTCTTGCCACTAATATGTTATTTCTCATAAAAATGGGACATGTTAACACAATGTTTGTTTTAATTTAAAAATAAATGATTAAGACCTCTTAATTTTAATTTCTATATGGTAAATATATATATATATATATGTATATATATATATGTATGTATATATATATATGTATATATATATACCACCAATATAAACAAAAGCTGTTTAGCTTCTCAGTAATTTTTAAGAGTGTATAGCAGGCCTGAGACTAAACAGTTTGAGGATCTTGGTAAATCCCGGCTATAAATGGAGAGGGAAATCAAATGCCGCTGAGAGATATACACCAGTGTCCTCCAGGGAAAAATAAAGAATTATGCCTGCACCCTATAATTTTTTTCATAAAGACCACTGAAAACATGATTTCTGGAGGTCCATGGGATGTCTCCTCTTCCATTTAAATAAATGTTCTTCTTTGAGAGGCAAAGAATACTAGGATAGACACTTGGAATTGTGAATTTAATTGAAATCATGCACATAACTAACACGCTTAGAATAGTAAGTAATCAAAAAAATTAAGTTTACAAAAAAGCACCTGCATATTAATTCAAAATTTACCATTTATTGACTGTGAGACCTTGGATAAATTATTTAATTTCTCTGAATCTATTTCTATACCAAGAACACAGAATACATGCCATAGTGCTCTCTCTATAGTACAAATACAGGGTTGTGGGACATCACAATTTAAAAAATAAGATAATGAATTAAAGAAAATAAACAATAGTATTGTTATAAATGTTACATGGTCACTCACTGTTATGTTAGAAATACTGCCATTTTCCCCTGGAACTTGTTTTGTGCTCTGATAACCTTTAAAAACTCTTACACATATAAAACCTTCCAGTTGGTGATGAAATATTTTGTGGCCTCCCAAGACTTCCACAGTATTCTGTAGGCATTTCCTTCTATTTTTATATTTGGCCCTGTCCTTTAGACAGTGTCAGATGTCTAAATAGGGAAAATTATAACTGTAATTTGACATAACGTTTTGCTGGTAAACATGCTTGAATTTTAAAATATATGTAACACTGCAAAGATAATTGGCAAGTGCATGAAAAGATTATCAAGATGTTCACCAAAATCTTAACAGTTGTTACTGTGGGTGGTAGAATATAGTGTATTTTATATTTTCTTTTTTTTTAATTTTGCTTTTATAATAAACATGTATCTTTTTTTAATCAGAGAAAGATTAAAGCTATTTTCACCCTGAAAAATAAAATAAAAAAACACTAGAAAATTTAATTG